AGGGACAGAAAACACAGCAGTGGTTGCCAGAGGCTGGGGTAATGAAAAGGGTTGACAACCAAGGGGAACCAGGAAGAGTAGTTTTTGGAATTACAGAACTTTTATTTAATATCTTAACTGTGGTGGTGGTTACACAACTATATGCCTTTGTCCAAAGCTGTAGAGCTGTACACTAAAAATGGTGCATTTACCGTATATAAATTAAACCTTAATTGAAAACAATAAGGAAGAAAGAACACTGGTTTGGGAATTAGGAGAACAGGGATCTAGTTTCAGTTATGCTACTAACCAGCTGTGTAACCATGAACTATTCTCTAATCCTCTCTGGGTCTTGGAGCCCAAAACTATAAAATGAGATCGGAAAAATGTTCTCAAAGAGTCTATTGCTATGTGCTACAAAGACTTCCTTCTTTAAGCAATGTGGTGGACCAGATGGCCTATTTCAGATCAGATGGCCTACTTCGGTTGCTGAAGTATCACTGTGGGGGTGACGGGACTAAAATACCCAATCTGGACACATGGTTCTGGAAAGTCTTCTTGGATTAGAAAGTAGTGTTTCTAATTTGTGTCTTTCCAAAGGATGAAGCTCTAGGAAAGTCCTTTGGTCATGCAATTCTTAACTAAAAATTGCCACATATATTTGGACAATGTGGAAGAAGTCCTTCGGGAAACATTAATGTTTAATGAGCTCTAAGAGGCCCTGGTAAACAATCATGGTCTTCTTCTTCTTCTTTTTTCCCCACTTTGTAGGCACTCATTAAAAAGGCATTTGGTGCCGTTTACTGCCTTCATCTGCTTTATCCTCCAGTTTGGATACTGGTTTCTACTACCCAAAGAAACCCCACCCTCACAGTTGTGAGTACATTCACACTATCCACGTCCTTATAGCCAAGGAAGACATTGAAAAGGACACCCCAGGAGTGTGACATGTATATGTATCATATATATATATCATGTTCCTGAGATGAGGGAAGCATTTACAACTCAAAAGGGAAGATACTAAGAATAAAAATAGAATCTTGATAACGATGGTAAAAGTTTGCATTTTTGCCCTTATAATGCAGGAGTCCACAAACCAGGACCTACCAACGATGCTTGTAAATTAAGTCTCATTGGTGTACTGCTCTTTTCAATTCATTGAAGATTATCTGTGGATGCTTTTACGTGATGTTGTACTTGTCACAGATACTGCCTGGCCCTTAAAGATTAAAATACATCCATGTGGACCTTTCCAGGAAAAAAAAAAAAAAATCTGCCAACTCCTTTTCATAGATCATGCCATAAACTATGCTATATGGTTTCCACATAAAATTCCATTTAACTATCAGTGCACCACCATGAAATAGGAATTACTAGCCCCATCGGATGGATCCGAGGTGCTAAAACGTAATGGACAGAAGCTTTCGGTGGAGTCAGACGGACCTGTGCTGTGCTCTTTACTAGCTGTCTAGTAGAGACTCTGGGTCTCTTACTTCGGTTCTTCATCCCGGGTCCCCAGATGTACGCTGGGGCTGACAACAGCACTGATCACGGTAGGGTAACTATCGGGACTTGATGTGACAATTGTCACAATGTGCAGTGATGTATATACAATAACATTTAAAATGCATTAGCCACATAAGATACAGTCAGCTTTTGGTATCCTCGGGGTCTTTTTCTTCCTACAAATATTGTAGGAAATATTGTAGAAAAAAGGTAAAGATGCCCTCATATGCTCGGTTATGAATTAACTTGGTATTTTGCACCCCTGCTGTGTGTTACATAAGGAACCTTTCTCCCATCTCTCATGAATCAAGCGGGAGAGAATGATGAGGATTCCAGCTCCGTACCGCTCTCCCCAAGACAACTGGAGATGGGGGCAAGTTGTCTTGCAGGAACGCGCAAACCAGCAAACCCACCAAACTGACATCCTGGCACCTCCTGGACAAGACACAGAAGACCACAAGGCTATACAGAGGAAGAAACAACCTCAATGATCTCCAAAGGAACAACATTCAGAGCAGGGCCAGGCGTGGCTTATGTTTCTTGCAAATGTAGGTAGTTACTTGTGAATAAGAGAAGGGAAATCAGAGGCCAGCATTTTAGCTGAAGGATAGTTCTGGCTTTAGATAATGAGCTGTTTTAAGATTTTTTTTTGTCATGATTCATTGTTAGTGCCTATAAACCAATGTATTTACTGAGTCCACATGCACATTTTTAAAGTACCTCATAGTTTTTTTGTCTCTGGGTAAGCACCCGGAAGGAGGAGAGTAAGAAAAATCAGGGTAGAAACTCCGTGTTCCCTGTGTTCAGATGACCCACAGTAGTCAGCAGGAACTTCCCCAGTCCTCTTGGAACCATCTTAGTCCTATTACTGTCATGGGGCTCCTGGCCAACAGTGTGAACATGACTGGTACAGAACTAAGAGACCAGTTTTAAAACAGACATCAGGAAGTTGGAGAAGTAGGCTTAGCTATTATTTCCTTTAGAAGCATGTTCAGGGATTTCCAGAAGCTAAGTAGCATTCTAAAATCTTTGTTTGGACTTATTCAGCACATTATTTCTACTGACTAATATCTGCAGAGTTGAGGAATCAAATATCAATACTGAATCACATATCACCTCCACGGTATAATTCCCATATGATATATCTGTTAGGCCAGTCACTTACTTGGGTGGAACAGCATTCCTTTTTTTTATTATAGCAAACCCAGACCCAAAATATTTTAAGCCTACCCCAGCTGTCTTTAGAACTTCTATTATCAGTCATAAAAACAACTTGTCAATTTTTTTGTTTCACTTAAAAAAAAAAAAAGAAAAAGAAACCATCGCTTCAATAAGGCTATAGATTTTCTGAAGTCTGCCTGGCATGAAATGAGTTTGAACATTAACATGTAAAGGACAAGCAATAAAAAAGGTAATATGAGTACAGACAGAATATCGAAGAGCTAGTGAACGCGATCTCTTCTAAAGGGAGTGGAATGGAAGAATGCAAAATGCACAGCTTTTCCAAGCTAAAGAAAGTGACAACAACCGAATTGAAAAGGCTGAACTTAGCATTACCTTCCCAGAACACAAACATATATTTAGCTTAATAGACTTGAGTACTATCTCAGGAAAAACCTTATATATTATGCATCTAGGGCAATGAAAGCTGTAGAAAATGATTTTGCAAAGCAAACACACTGCAGGCTGACAGTAGCAGAGGGAAAAAAAAGAGTCTAAGGCACACGAGATGAGTTTAGGTCTCATTTTCTATATATCATCACAGGAGGAAAACAAAAGAGCAGAGAAAACCTCAAGACACTAACCAGAACCTGGCAGAATGATGCATGTGACTGAAGCTTAAAACATGTGCATTATTTTCTGATTATAACCATAATACAGATTCAAATGAGAAAATTTGGAAAATATAAAAAATACAAAGAAAACAACTAAAATCACCCACAATCCCACCACCTGGAGAGAACCATTATCAAAACATTGGCACAATCACTGGCATCCCTTTTTCTGTGTACATATAAAAATATGTTCTTTTTAAGAAATTTGGTTCATACTACAGTATAAAAATTTTTACATGGTCTTTCCCACCCACCCCCACTTCTTTTTTATTTTTTTATTTCTTCTATTTTATTTCTAGTACTTCCCCATGTTGTCATGTATTCCTGGAAGATTTAATTTTAATGACTGCATTATATTGTAGCTTATGAATTTAAGAATTATTTGTTTCTTTCCATATTGCTGTTCATAATTTTTCAGTTTTGTAAACAGCACTAGGATAGACTTTCTTATAATAACTCTTTGAATCTCTATTTACTTCTTCAAAGAAACTAAAAAGTATACCAGTATGTCAGATTCAAATTTAAATCACTCAGAGTACTTGTACCTATAAATTTACCACTGGAAGCCTCTGGAGACAAACACAAATAATGCATATCAAATAAACACACTATTTTCCTATCACTCCAAGTCTGCATTCATCCTTCTAGAGCAGTCATCTTTAGGCAGTACATCACTTTCTCTAGGCAAATGGCCTATTACTGGGTTATAATCTAAATGCAATAACATGAAACTTGGCTGACCCAGATTTCTCCAACATCAGTGTGCATGCAGACTATTCTACAGGTTGAAAAATACCGTTGGCTCTCAAAAATACATATTTTATCCTCCTTTCACTTAAAATGGTGTGTAATGGACATGAAAATAAAATAAATAAAGGGTTATAGCCAGTGGAGGTTGGTAGCAACCAAAGCTTATGTAGACACATGAGTTACATACATTGCAACTTAAAGTTTTCTGCAAATTCCAGCTTTTTTCGGCCACTTCCTGTCATAGGTCTCTGAAGCACTCCCCACATATCGAATTAATTATGATCCTTGTTTAGAATTATACAGTCATAATATTCTGGGCTTAAATTCTTTACAATCTATTTTTAAGGAAGGATTCTATTTTCAGGATGCTAAATAGGGTTCTCAAAAATCTCTCAAGAGTGTATGTGTTCACATGCATATATATACAGACCCATACCTTTAAATTGTTTTTCTCCCAATAGTCAGTGAAAAGCAAAGTAAAATGAAACACAACAAAAACCCCACTTGTATCATGATCGTATGAACTATGGAGTCACACAAATTCCAAGGCCTCCCTCAGAATTGGTGGTCAGACTAAGGGAGCTTGGGCCACACCGTACAACTCTAGGGGTGCAAATACATCCCTATCTCTGGCATTGTGCAATGCACAACCTATATAACTCTATGGGATGTCCTTGAAATTAGGTCATCAGATAATTCCATTTGCTCATCCATTACTTGGTTGTGCATCCTTCCCCCAGTGGCCTATAAAAAAGAGTTTTAGGAGGGAAGTAGCCTTTAAATCTGTGTACCTTTTTTTTTTTTTTTAATAAAAGAAATTCTGCAAAGACACAGTAATAGTCTCTCCCTGGCTCCCCTTTGTCCTGATGGCAAGAGTTTCTTTCTTCCCATCCTCCCCTTCTATCCACCCACTAGGCAGCCGCAGGATACCTTGTGTGAGTAACTGTAGGTTTCTGACTTCTTCGCGCACCTTCAGCTGGAGCACCTGTTGTAGGATATGCTGCCGGAGGTTCTCCTGGGCAATCCCCATCCGCTCAAGCTTTTTGTCAGTCAGTCTCAGCAGGGCTCGCCCTGCAGGGTTTCAGAAATAAAAGAAAAAGCAAATGAACAATGGCTGGAAAGGATTTCCATCTTCGTTTTTCGACTAATCCTGCCGGAACAGTAGTTTCCTTCTAAACAGACACTTTAGGAGAGAAGGTCCTCAATTATTCTTACGGACAAGAATTGATCATCTGGATAAAGAAAATGCACAAATTTAGAAAAGAACCCCTCTTTTTATCTAATTTTGGCCATCCTCCCCTGAAAACACACAGAGTCAAATAGAATAGCAGAATTTTAACCTGGGTATTTCGGACCCAGATTGCAGGTTGCCATAGGAACAACGCACTTTGGCAGGCGACGGGTCCTGAGGCTGGCCTGTAGGAACTCATGCCTGGACAGCCCAGAGAAGACCGGGATGTGGTCGCTATGGTTATAGAGAAACTGACCAATGTCTAACCCAGGTTACAATAACGTTTCATGAAACATGCATGTAAAGTTCCCATGATCACTTGCAGGCATTTGCCTGGTGCCCCCCTAGTGCTGAGCTAGACTTCCATTTCCAGACGGTGGGAACTAAACCGTGATTGCAATCTCTGGCCTCAGGCCAGGGCTGCAGAAGCACTGGGAGTGAGGGGAGCAGGGTGAGCGGGGGCATCCAAAGATTGCAAAACAAGGAGCCTCCAGGAATGAGTGCCTGGCATGGCTTCCTGTTCCCCAGGATGTCTGCATGACTCCCTTCCTACTAGTTTCCATCAAATTCCCAAATTCTCTCCCACTCTGTGCTTGCCCTGACAGAAGCAGACTTCCACCGTGAGGGCTTAGCACAAGAAATAAAGAGTATGATTGCGGTTCAATGCTGTAGCACCCCGTTCTCTCCCCTCAGCCCCCCATCATCGTACTTGCAGACCCTTCTCATTTCAGCTGATGTAGAGTCAACTATGTGTGATCAATGTCTTGGGTATATTATCACATACACTTCAGAAACTAAATTCTCTGCTTCCTCAGAATCCCCAAGAGACAGGGAGGAGACAGGGGTTAATGGACATTTTCACCAGAGATATAGGGAAGTGTATGTGGCCTGAGAACAGAGAAAGGCAAACAGAAAGAATCAGATAGGAGTGATCTGCGCTGTTTGCTCTTCTTTTTTACCCCCTGGTAACCTCGCAAAATGCACCAGTTGGGATAAGTTAGGTAACATGTTGCAGTAACAAATGATCCCCAACTATGGGGGTGGCTACAATAAGGTTTATTTCCTGTGTCCTGTACACATCAAATGCAAGTCCACCCACCTTGAACATGGCTGATTATTGTACTGACAGGAAAAGAGAAGGTGTTAAAAGGTCTCACGGCATCATAGCCTAGAGGTCATTGACAAATACTGGTCAGAGCTAATCACATGAACCTTCCCGCCTACACATAAGCGTACATGTAAGAATTGTGCATCCATCACCTGCCAAGAAGGCGGTGGGAGGGGAGAGAAATATTTGGCAGGCAGCACTGATAAGAACTACACCAATACAGACTTGGCTCTGGACCGGGGCCTGGCAAGGTCGTGAGTGCAGTGAGCCATGGCAGTCTGAAGCGTCAGTAAAAGCTACACCTGACAGAGGATGGAGAGGTAGGGGAAAGGAATCCTAGGTGGCCATAGCTGACACCACCGGGAAGACCGTGGTGGTCTTCAGAAAAGAAGCAAAGAACATACAGACTCCAAGGAGTTCCAATTGTCTCCTGGGATAGATGGAATGATACCTTCCCCTCCAAAGATGCCTAGGTCTTCATCTCTGAGACCTGTAAATGTGTCACCTTACATGACAAAAGGGACTTTGCAGGTGTGACTATGTGAAGGGTCTTATGATGGGAGAGTATCTGGCATTATCCAGGTGGGTCTAATCTAATCACACAGGCATCTATAAGGGGAAGAGACAGGAGAGCCAGAGAGAGAAGGGACAATGGAAGCAGAGGTCAGAGTGAGGTGGCCACAGGCCAAGGAATTCAGGATTCTAGAAGCCGGAAAAGACAAGGACATGGATTCTCTCTCCTACTCTCCCATCAGGAAGCATCTCTACCAACACTTTGATTTTCCATAAGACCCATTTTGGACTTCTGATCTCTACAACTATAACAGAGTAAATTTGTGTGGTTTTATGCCACTAAGCATGTGGTCATTTGTTACAGCAGTAATTGACCTTTTGATCGAAATTTAATACATTTAAAAACAAAACAAAACAACCAATGGCTTTAGATTCCCTTTCCTAACTTCTGGGCAGCGGCATACTCAAAGGTAGAGAGCTGAGGGGTGGTGAGCCCGAGTTCCAGGTTAGGACAGCCCTGCCTTCAAAGTCCTGCCTTCAAAGGCTCACCTTACCATCTGACCTTGGTCCTAAAGTTTCATTCGGGAAATACAGAACGGGATCCGGTATCCTTTATGTGGGTAATTTGCTTCCAAATAAGACATCCAGCTCTTTATATATGCTCTCGACTTAAAACTACTGCATAAAAAACTTCCTGAAGTTCAGATGATCTAAATCCCTCTCAACACCAAAATATAGATCACCCATCCTCCTATCTGTTCCCCATGACTTGAGCTGTGGTTTCATAAGCTGTGACACTTGGGAGCTGGTGCCGCTGAGGCCCCGGGAGGACACACGGGAGCTGGGTCATGGTAAGTCGGCTGGTCTGTCTCCAGAGCCCAGCGCTAGGAAGTCAGGATGAGGATTCTGTTCAGAGGGCATGGCTCAGCTTCTCTGTTTGGTGGCTCCCCTGAGAACCTCTAGCCTCAGCCTTTCCAGTAATGCAGCTGACTGGTTGATGTGTGGAACCAATAAGCCCTATTAGAACGTTATCCCCCACTTGGGTGGGTCAATAGCTTTAGCTCTGAAAATGCAAGTTGGGAAATTCTATTAGTTGTAAAAATCTGCACATTTTAGACTATGTGATGCAGACAATTGTGCCCATCAACATTTCACATGCTAAATACTCAGCTGCTCAAACTGCTGTTATCCAAGTCCCGAGAAAATAGATATTATTTCCATTTTGTAGAAAGGAAAATTGAGAAGTTGAAAAATATTCAGATCATGAGAGCCTTCCCAAATTCCTCCTCCTATAACTTTAGTTGGGCTTTATCTTCCGTGGGAGGAAAATAAAGGGCTCAGACTACAAGAAGAGAGATTATGAGAAAATTGTATAGAATAACTTCCTGATAAAACAACTTCTAGAAAAGATCACAATCTGCACACTGAGGATGGTCTGAACAAAATCTGATTCACTGTCTTCCTTGGATGGTTTCTACAGAGCCACCCAGGTCCATGGCTCTGAAAAATCTGTCCAATAATCAGATCATTTCCAGCAGCAAATGTCCCATTGACCTCTTGTTCCTACCACCTACTGCTGACCGCAAAACAGTGTCCAAAAAAGTGTGGTGCTTTTGATGCTGGGGTCAGGGAAGTGATAAGTAGTCAATCATCAATCACATTTTTTTTTTTTTTGTAATTTATGTTGTCACTTTGGTTGCTTAGCATAAAAATCCAGTTGTTTATTCAACAAATACTTATTGGGCACCTACTGTGTCCCTGTCACTTTGTCATTCACCTTGAGTATAATGAGAACAGGGTCAACCTTGGTGCCTTCAGAATGGCAAGGCAGGCAGCTAATGGTAAAAGCTGACAGGCATGGGATGAGCGCTAAGAAAGGGCAAATATGAGATCGCAGAACTGCGTGACCTAACCCAGTCTGGGAACCATGAAACTGTCACTGAGTAAAGAGCATTTAACCTAGGACTTCAGGAGTAAGAGGTTGTCAGACCAAGACCACTGGATAAAGCAAAGACTTTTTTAAATGTCCAGCAACCACGTGGACAAAGAGGGAGACCGCTGCTGCAGACAGAGACGGGAGGCACGCCTTGATGCCTTTTGCATTCCTTGCCTTTTCTCCAGAGAAGGTCTTGGGCACCTTCCTCTGCCCTCAGTGGTCCTCACAGGGAGGAATCAAGAAGAGAAAAATCAATTCAGTCTCAGAAGCAGAGCACCAACTAAATTTCCTGATCCTCCCACCTGGTTATGAATGGTATTTTGTGAACCCAGGCGGCTCAGCCTTCACAGACTCATAGATTCTGAGAGCTGGAAGAAGCTTAAAGTCCTCCCCATTGATCACTGGCTTACCTTTGACTTCTTTCCTTTGGTAAGCATTTTTTGAGCGCCACTGTGTACACGACACCATTCTGGGTACTGAGGCTGTGGAGAGGAGTCGTCTTCTCCGTCTCAGTGGAGCTTACCATTTAGTGCCCGAGACGGACGATTTACAAAAGAACTGCTATGCGGGGGCAGATAGGGACCCCTACCGGAAGGATGGCACTTTGTAGGTGGGGTGATGGGGCAAGGCCTCCCTCCATACCGGAACACAGAGAAACGTCAAAGCAATGAGCAGAAGGGCAGGAAGGCTAGTGTCACAAGGGCCAAGCAGCCAAGAGAATGATAAGAAAGGAGGTCTAGGGCACCTGGGTGGCTCAGTGGGTTAAAGCCTCTGCTTTCGGCTCAGGTCATGATCTCAGGGTCCTGGGATCAAGTCCCACATCGGGCTGTCTGCTCAGTGGGAAACCTGCTTCCCTCACTCTCTCTGCCTACCTGTGATCTCTGTCTGTCAAATAAATAAATAAAATCTTAAAAAAAAAAGAAAGAAAGAAAGGAGTTCTGAGAGAAGGCAGATCTCAAAGGGCCTGCTAGATCTTGGTGAGAACTCTGGATTTTATTCTGAACATGGGAAATTTTAAGCAAAGGATGATGTGGCCGTGATCTTATGTATTAAAAGAATCCCTCGGGTCCCCATGTGAACAGACTGGGGGTGTAAGGTGGGAAGGTAAGGAGCAGTGGGCAGAGTCTACACACTGTCCCAGTAGTCAAAGCAGGAGGTACTGGTGGCTTGGATGTGGGTAGAGGGGAAGAAATTGTCAGAAACAGTAGAATTCTGAATTGCAGTACCTCAAAGTGGGGTGTGAGAAAAGACAGACCTCAGAGATGATGAGTTTTTCAACTGGA